GACACACTAATCACCTACCTACAGAAAAAGACAAAAGCATATCTCACAGCCATAAATACTGCACTCCCAAGCAAACTACACCAGAGCACAGAGTGCTGCCCTCTGAAGATGCCGGCCACAGAGACTGGCAAAATGTTAGGAAGAACAACCTTCAGAAAACGGCCAAAGAGCCCGAAAAACCCACAACAACCATTAGATCCCAGCCGTGAAAGCCTTCTCGAATAAATAGTAAAAGGATCAATGAACACAATACCAAAAAAATTATGTTGTTTTGTTTAGTCATTAAGTCGTGTCCGATTCTTGGTGACCCCATGGACCAGAGCACACCCTCCTGTCTTCCATTGCCTCCCAGAGTTGGGTCAAATTCATTCTGGTAGCTTCAATGAAACTGTCCAATCATCTCGTCCTCTGTCGTCCCCTTCTCCTATTCCCTTCACTCTTTCCCAACATCAGAGTCTTTTCCAGGGAGTCTTCTCTTCTCATCAGATGGCCAAAGTACTGGAGCCTCAGCTTCAGGATCTGTCCTTCCAGTGAGCACTCAGGGTTGATTTCCTTTAGAATTGATAGGTTTGTTCTCCTTGCAGTCCAGGGGACTCTCAAGAGCCTCCTCCAGCACCACAATTCAAAAGCATCAATTCTTCAGTGGTCAGCCTTCTTTATGGTCCAGCTCTCACTTCCATACATCACTACAGGAAAAACCATAGCTTTGACTATGCGGACTGTTATTGGCAAGGTGATGTCTCTGCTTTTTAAAATGCTGTCGAGGTTTGTCATCACTTTCCTCCCAAAAAGCTGGCGTCTTTTAATTTCATGGCTGCTGTCACCATCTGCAGTGATCATGGAGCCCAAGAAAGTAAAATCTGTCACTGCCTCCATATCTTCTCCTTCTATTTGCTAGGAGTTGATGGGACCAGTGGCCCTGATCTTAGTTTTTTTGATGTTGAAAAAAAAAGCATATACAACATCAAAATATATTCAATGCAATAAGGTAAAAGCACCTTTCTGATCTTAGTTTTTTTGATGTTGAAAAAAAAGCATACACAACATCAAAATATATGGAAAGCTTGCCTGAAGAGAAAGGTCTTTGCCTGCTTGTAGAAGGACAACAAAGATGGGACCAGCCTGACTTCCTGTGGGAAGGAGTTCCAAAGTCTGAGAGCAGCCACCGAGAAGGCCCTCTCTCAGTTCCCCACCAAATGCACCTGTAAAGGTGGCAGAATGGCAATTATCTTAACACTTGAGCAGGGAGATGTGGTCCTTGCGATAGCTTGGGGCCAATCTGTTTAGGGCCATATGTTTTGGAACCAGCACTTTGATTTCTGCCTGGAAATGGATCAGCAGTCAGTGGAGCTGCTGCAACAGAAGGACTGAGTGATCCCTATGTCCAGCCCCAGTTAGGAATCTGGTTGCTTTTGACTTTTTTTTTTCTTATCCTTCAATTTTCACTCTAATTAACCTCTTTATCCCTCTCTAACCACTCCTTGTAATTTAGGATAGCATTGAAACCTTTCAATTGCTAAATGCTTCACCTGCCTTGGATCTCTCTCTCTCTCTCTCTTTTTAAATTAGCATTACATATAATACCTCTAATCAGTGTGAAGCACACAGTGCCAGATGTTGCCATCTGTATTCAATCAGTAGTAAAACCAATCACAGGAAAATGAAATCATTAGCAAGGCTTGGAATTCAATTCACACCAGGATCGAAAAGAGCGCCGCAATTTCCTTTTACACGTTTGCAGCAAGGCTAGACATGGACTTCTGTGCTCTTCGTCACAATCCTGGAAAGGATATGTTAAAAAGGCAATCAAAATGTTCAAGAGCCTGCCTTTATTATGATTGAGACTTTTTAGTTTGGGAGAAGGAAAGATCATGGGATAGGCATGGTTAAAAGAAGATGTACTACCTTCTCCCAAATTCAAATGTGTTTTCTGTTTTTCGGGACAAATCTGAAAACTCTCCTGTAAAACACAAGATTTTTTTTCATCTGAGAAATCACATTCAGATAAGAAGAATGCAGTTATGGCAGCCTTGGGTCCTCGTTCTGGGAGAAAGGAAATATATAAATACAAAAGAGGAAAACAAAGATACCTTTAAAAGGAAAAAAATGTCATTTCCTGCCCAAGACTTGCTTATGCAGGCTTGTGATCCATAGGTGTGTGGAAAGTGAGTATCGAATGAAAAATAATTTGGAACAGGTTTTAATATAAAATTCACTGTCATACACCCAAACCCAGTTATGTTGCAAAAGGCATACTTGCCCAAGTTTTGCAGTGGAATTTTCCCAATGAAAATTGCATACAAAAAATGCACATGTTTCAGAAAAGTGGGTACAAAAAGATACATATTAAGGAATATTGCATTTAGTAATAGTTACTGAATAGTTTGAGAGCGAGAGAGAGCGAGAGAGAGATCTGCCATATTAAAAAATAATCACACACACACACACTTCAAAGGCTACTGAATGTAGATCGAGATACACAACTGATTTCGTGATTGGTTGCACAACCTTGGCAAGACTGGGTTCAGGACAGACACCCTAGGAAACAATAATTTGGAACAGCTTTTAATATAAAATTCACTGTCATACACCCAAACCCAGTTATGTTGCAAAAGGCATACTTGCCCAAGTTTTGCAGTGGAATTTTCCCAATGAAAATTGCATACAAAAAATGCACATGTTTCAGAAAAGTGGGTACAAAAAGATACATATAAGGAATATTGCATTTAGTAATAGTTACTGAATAGTTTGAGAGAGAGAGAGAGAGAGAGACTGCCATGTTAAAAAATGATCACACACATACACACACACACACACACACACACTTCAAAGGCTACTGAATGTAGATCGAGATACACAACTGATTTCGTGATTGGTTGCACAACCTTGGCAAGACTGGGTTCAGGACAGACACCCTGGGAAACAAGTAAAATCACTTGTGTGATTATATGCATTAAGGAAAATGCACACAAAATGTGTACATACATTTGTCCAAATTTCAAAAATTTTCAGAGTTCAGAATGAACATAACGTAACACTGGAAACGTTCTTTAAATAGCAACCTGAGTGCAAGATTAGAAACATAAGAAACTTAGACTAAACAGTTTTGCCCATCCATAGTAGGTGGGCCCTTTCATGAATAACATCATCATCATTTTAGAACTGCAAAGCTGGAAGGTATCCTGTGGATCATTGTATCTGACCCTGTTTGGATATAGCCACAAGGCAGTGGAGGTTTGAAATCGGAGTTTTCCTTCAAGCTTCAATCACAATCACTTGTGTGATTATATGCATTAAGGAAAATGCACACAAAATGTGTACATACATTTGTCCAAATTTCAAAAATTTTCAGAGTTCAGAATGAACATAACGTAACACTGGAAACGTTCTTTAAATAGCAACCTGAGTGCAAGATTAGAAACATAAGAAACTTAGACTAAAATTAACAGTTTTGCCCATCCATAGTAGGAGGGCCCTTTCATGAATAACATCATCATTTTAGAGCTGCAAAGCTGGAAGGTATCCTGTAGATCATTGTACTGTATCTGGCCCTGTCAATGAGGCACAGTAGAGGATCGAACTCCTAACATCTAAACCTCTGAGCTATCCTAACTTTTTTAATTCTTGGGAAGACCTGGTCAGGAAGCTTCAGATTTCTGGAACTTCAGTAGGCTACTGGTCCTCCTGCCCCATTGCTGGTATCACAGGGTTGATTAAAATCATACAAGATATATTTGCAAATGTAGAACTTTTGTGCATTTAACAGGTTGCAAATATAGATTTTTTGGAAACATGGTATTGAAAAAGGACAATTTTCCTCTGAAAAGGCCTGCCAAAAATAGCACGTTCCTTCTTGCCGAATGTGATCCTAGATGGACTCTCCCATGGTTTTAGAAATTGTTTTACCATACCAAAGCGATAAGCAAAAATGCATAAAACAGCAACGGCTATGATAATGACCACTTTGAAAATGTTCATTTCATTACCATGAGTAGCCTTCTGTGATTTGGGATCGTGTGTGTGTGCATGTGCTAATGAGGCTATAAGAGCTCTATGCAACTGAATTACACTAGATGATTATTTATTTCAAGTAATCATTTATTACTTGAAGCATATTTCAGTCTTTTGCTCCAATGAGGAGATAATAATAGTGCAATCCTAACTCAAAGATGTGCCAACGGTAGAGGGTTCAGATGAAGCACAAGAGTCTTCTGCCACCAGATATGAAAGAGTAGTTTGCTGCCCGTTCTGATCAATTAGTTATTGTTTACTAAGCCAACTCCGCTTGGCAACAATATTTTGGATTTAGGATCAGAAATTTACCTTACCTCCTTTTCAAGCCATCTAAACCAGTGCCCAGACTGCCATATTGACTGAAATCCAGTAGGAAGTTACAACTAGAGTAGACCCATTGAATCAGTGGGAATTTGGTGAGTCAACTCCTTTGTGAGTTCCATTGGTTCAATGGGCCTTCTCTACGTGTGACTTGTGGGAATGAGTTCTATGTTAATTAAGTAGTGTCTGAAGGACTTGTTTTTACCTATCTTGTACCTACTGGTGAGTTCGGATATTATGGGGGAAGAGAGAAATAAAATCCCTCACAAATTAGAAATAAAGAAAAATAATGTCAGCTCTGTAAATGTTTAAAAGAGACGTCTCACGATTTCCCTGAACAACTTTCATTTTTAAGATTTTCCTTTGTAAGTCAATATTTTCAGAGCTTGGAAAGTTCGTGTTGACTAGGGATTCTGGGAATGGTAGTGCAAAAGATACCTTTTTCCAAGTCCTGAGTTTTTAAAAAGTGTTCCTGTATCTACAAGGAAGAAATGTGGGTTTTGTTTTGTTTTTCTGCTGACAGATTGAGACAGATCTTCCCCAAAAGAGTTGGCTTTTAAACACAGTCAAATTAAAGCCAAGGTGTAAAGGAGATGGCTTTTGAAAATGCTGTCTTTATTCAGTCAATCAATCGTTGTTTGTGTCTTTCTTTTTTGTTCTTCCAGAGCCATGTTTGACTACGATAAAAGCAAGGACAGCGGCCTACCAAGCCAAGGGCTTAGCTTCAAGTATGGTGACATCCTCCACGTCATCAATGCATCAGATGATGAATGGTGGCAGGCGAGAAGAGTTACGCAAGAGGGGGACAGCGAGGAAATGGGAGTTATACCCAGCAAAAAGAGGTATTGTGTGCTACACCCCTCCGCCTTTAGAAAGCGTGTGCATATCCCAGGATATTCATTCATTCATTCATTTGCTTACTTGTTTACAAGAATAAACAAATATTTGACCGTTCTCCCCATCTCCCCAGATGGCCAAAGGAACCTTCTCTGTTGACCTGCCTAGCGGTGAAACAGAGGTAGTTGTGTTTGGCTATATGATCAATGATCATATTATTTCTTTAAAGCTGTATTTTGTAGTTCTTTTTACAGCATTCTAAATTTTAGGGCTAGATCCAATTCATAGTCCTGGCTAAGATTAGAAACATTGATTTCAATGGGGCTTGGTGAGTGAACACCGTTAAGACCCCTTGATTCACTCTAGCTGAGACTTAACAACTAGGGGAAGGTGAATTTCTGGGTTAGTGAAATTTGTGGCCCTCCCTTCCTCAAGAGCGTTCAAGAAAATGCACATGGCCTCCCTCCTCCACACTTTATCTTCAAAATAACACTTTGGGACATAAAGACAACAATGATAATTAGCAGAATATTGAGTGAACAGTAATTGTAATTTTCATGCCTAAGTAGGGATTCAAACCTACATCTCCTAAATCCTAACCCAATACTCTAACCACACAGGCTGTTCAGCTCTTGAACAGCCAACTGCTATTTACATTCTGCATTCCAAACTTTTATGAAGTTCTTCCATTTTCTCAGTTATATGTGATGCCATCAACTTAACACCACAAGTCTTCCTTGCTTTTTGAGTGTTGCCAACATTCTTCCCTTATCAGTCTTCAGAGGCCCACCATCCTGGACATATCTCTTCCTCCTCCTGTTGGTCTTCACCTTCATCTTCATCGCTGTTGCTGCTGCTGATGATTCTGTTAGGACATTGCACTTGGTCATACACACCCTCAGCACCACTTCCAAGATAGAGAAGACCATATTTGCGTCAGTTGCTGTTCCATCTTTTCTGTTACATCTCAGCTGCTCAGAGAGTACAGGTGAACGAGCAGGAACAGCCAGGAGGAAGAGTTGTTGGCTTAAGAACCTCTAGAAGGTGATGGGACTCGATAAATGCCTAACAGTGCTAACCTTTGATGTGGGCCTTCCCCCATAACATCCCAACCATCCTATACAATTCCTTGACAAAGACTAACCCAGGGATTAAAGGTCTTGCATGCCAAGTTTGCTGTTTGAGTGGAAATTTTCTTCCTGCGGTCTGAGTTTTCGCTGCACTGCCTTGAACTGCCATGTTTTGCTAGCCAAAGAGAGTGGAAATGTTTCAAATTTAAGAACTGACATTGCTGGTTCTACTATAGGTCCTATTCAGCCTCTCTGAACTCCATCTGAAAGTACTGCAAGAGAGCCTCGCTCCGTTCTCCAGTTTCTTCCCTGATACCTGTGGGTTTCTTCGTGTGGGTCGAGACCCTAATTTTGCCAAAGTGCTGTCTCGTGTGGAAAGCCCTCTTCAGATTTGTCACCCTCCACATGTGGGGGGGGGGAGAGAGAGAGAGAAGTGAAAGAAAAGTAGCAATCAGGTTCCGCAGGGTGGGACTACGGTATTTCTTCTGCCACCTCATTGGGCAGGAGAGCTGTTGACAGACTTGCCCTTAGCTTTCTTCCTCCTCCTGTTCTTCACTTCCCTGCTGCTGCCTTCAAGCGCACAATTTCTTTTTCCTCTTCTCTTTCTAATCATCAGCCGGTAGTACAATTGTCCCTTACACCATGGTCTTGGAACGGGGTGCCCCACTTCCTTGGATCACAACCCACCCTTGCTCTCTTCCTTCCTCTAAAAGCAAAGCAAAAGCAAAGCGTGCTGCTTATATACTGCCCCATAGCGCTTCAAGAACTCTCTGGGCGGTTTACAAGTTAATTATGGAGGCTACACATTGCCCCCCCCCCGCAAGCTGGGTACTCATTCTACCGACCTCAGAAGGATAGAAGCCGGTTACCTGGGATTGAACCCCGGGTTGCGAGCTGCAGTACAGCAGTTTAACCAGTGTGCCACGAGGCTCTACCTATAGTTCATCCTGTTTTCATCCTGCATTCCAGACCCTTTCCCACTTTATAGCAATGGGAGCCAAGCTACACACTAACGAAAATATGTGTTCTTTCTGATCAACCCTCCCTCCCTTTCTATATGTTCTTCCTTCCACAATGGGATTTCTTCAGAGATACATGCTTCAAGCAGGCTTGCAAATTAAACCCCACATTCATCGTTTATCTTCCTGTGATCAATCACACACATATAAAGTATATTAAATGTAATATACAGAGGTGATGAAAATGGTACACTTTGACAAACAGACAACTATGACTTGCTGAAAGAGCACTGCTTTGAAATACATATGTGTTAAAAAAGGTAGAAATATCCAACCCCATGAAAAGTTATATCTTAAGACACAGGGAAGAAAGAAAGATTCACCTTTATATTAAGAGAAAGCTTTTTAAAAGGTTAATGATTCCATGGAATACTCTTACGCTGAGGTCCAGACCATTCATCATCTTTGCATAGCACGTTTGGTTTCAGGCTTGAAATTTAGCTCCAGGTTCATCTTAGGATGAAAGAAATCTTCTTGGAAGGAAAATAATGTATCGTTGGTTCGTGTGGACATTATTATTCTGACAGTGGAGGTGGGCCTGCTCTTTCCAAACGGGGAAAAATAAATCAAGAGGGATCTACATTTGTGTGTATCCATTTAAACCATATCTTTATCTTTTCTCTTTGAGTTAGGAAGCACATGCCAAACACTCACTTCAGATAAAGCTAACAAACCCACTTTATGTTAAAAACCGCAGATTAAAATCTCGAGGGACGCTGCAGAAGTTATCTTGTGTAGGGTTTCCCTCCTAAAGGGAAACTAAGTCGAGTGGATAAACATGTTCTACTAACAACCCAAGCGGAATAACAAGATGTAACATGACTTGCGTGTCCAGAGGGTTTTTCTTTTTTCCGTCGCTGGTTCCTTACCCTTGAAAATTATTTATAAAGGACATTTCCTCTGTATATTTTTCTGGCATTTAAAGAGAACAGGGAGAAAATAGCAAGGCTTTTAAAACTCTGTCTTTCTTGATGCAATGATGTAGAAGGTCGGCCTATAGGGTTGTCCAAGGATGGCAACTGCTGAGGTCCACACATCCTCCGTTGGATGGCCCATGGTGAGCAGCCACCTGTGGATCTGCTCACAGTCCTAAGCCTGATCCTGTGGGAATGCAACAGCAGAAAGGGATCTGCACCCATGGGGCAGAGTTGGAAGATAGGCTTGGTGTGTCTTTCCTTCTTGTCTTTTCTAGTTCTGCATGTAGGTTGATACTCCAAGGTTTCCTCTTTTTTTTTCCCTCCTTTCCCCCCTCCAATGTGTTTTCCAGTTTCTTCTTCCCCGCTGCAGTACAGAGAAGGCTTGCAAACCAGTAGGCTTGCAAACATGGAAGCCAGCTCTTTTAATTGGTTTTCTGGTTAATAAACCAGAAAACCACTTGCTTCCAGTGTGAGAAGGTGTAACACAATGCATGCACACCCAACTCCCATTTTGGGACCAGCTGAGACCAATGGGTGGAGGGGAGTTGTTGCCATTTGCACTAGGATTCTTATCCCCTGCACCACAATCAAGAGTACACATAACACATGGAGAGCTTTTCAGGATCTGGGCCATCTTTACATGGGGTAGATGAGCTGCTGCAGCAGCTACAGTTGCCTATAAACACCCCCCCCAAAGAACAGCTACACCATTCATCTGAAGAAACGTGCTTGGACCCACGAAAGCTTACGAAATATACAAACTAAGAGCAAGCAAAAGGAAGGCAGAAATTTTCTTCTCAAAATAAATTGTCACGATTCCTCCCCTCCAAAAGAGTTACTCCCATAGAAGTGCAGTTCAAACCATTTTTAAAACACAAATTGGTTTTAGATCAGAAGGGGTGTGTGTGTGTGTGTGTGTGTGTGTGTGTGTGTGTGTATTAAATTTGTAACCACCCCATTATTGCAAAAGCACAACTCTAGACAGTTTGCAATCAACTAAAACAATAAATGTAAATAAAAACAACAAAATAACAATCAACACATCAAGTGACGGAAATATAAAATGAAATACGGCAGGGACAGAGAACAGTATAGAGCATGCAGGGTTATCAGAAACGGCCTCTCTGGTGATCTTTTAAAGGAGGGGATGGAGGGGGCCGGGCGCAGTTCCAGTTGTGTCCATAGTATTGGATCCACCGCAAAGACGGCCCTACATCTAGTAGAGGATTTCTTGGCCTCCCTTGGAGTGGTTACCCAGAGGATCACAGTCAGGGAGGATGGGTGGATTACCTTAGGAAAAGATGCTCCAACAGGTAACGTGGTTCTAAACTGTGAAGGGCTTTATGAGTGATCATCAAAGCCTTGAATCTGTTCCAGGAGGCGACAGGTAACCAGTGCAGGTGAGCTGAGACTGGGGAGATGTGATCAAACCTGCACACACCAGTCATCCGTCTGGCTGCCACATTCTGGACACAATGCAATCTCTGGGTCAGACCCAAGGGAAGCCACACATAGAGAGGATTGCAACGGTCAATGCAGGAAATGACCAGTGCATGCATCAATGTTCTGAGGGACTCCTCATCCAGGAAAGGGCAGAGTTGGGCCATACGCCTCAAGTGAATGAAGGCAGCTCTGGACACAACTGGAACCTGGGAATCTCAAGATAGATCCGGCTCCATGAACACGCCCAGATCATCAACTTGATCCCTGACTGGGAGGATAACACCATCCCGTCTAAGGAAATTCCCTCCAGTCTGTCCAGGAAGCTCCTCAGAAGCAGATCTCCATTTTTTGTCCAGGTTCCGTTTGAGCCTGTTAGCCCCGGTCCATTCTAGGACTGGCTCCAGGCCATCCTCAAGAGTCCAGACTCCTTCCACTGCAGAGGTGGAAAAGGAGAGATAACGTTGCATATGATCAGCGATGATCCCTTACTCCAAATTTCTTGATGACTTTTTAGACTAACAGTTTTTAAATTTTGATAAGCATACTTCTTC